CACATCAAAGACTAATATCGAATGAATGCTTGGAGAATGAAAGAGTCTTGACACTGGCACTTTATGGCCATACAGCGGCACAAGCAGTTCAAGGTTGCCCTCCCAACAGCCGGATTCTTCGTCCCGCCTCACGGATCAGTTGTGCCGAAAGCGTGTTATGAAACGCCGTGTTTGCCACGGTCTGGTGCCAGGGCACCCGTGCAACTACCGGCTCGACTGCAGCCAGGTTTGCGCGCTCGGCCGCCGCGCCGACGCCGTGCCGTGAGCCGGCAGGGCGCCTCCGGCTCCGCGCTGTTACGTGCTCGGCGGCCGTTGGCGGAGCGGGCCGGCCGCAGTTACAGCGAGTGGTGGGCTGCGCCAGCCGGCGGCGCCCTCTCCGCGCCGACCCGCGCGCCCCGCGGGACATCCGCAGCAGCGGCCGGCGCGCGCGCTGCTCGTGACGCATGCCGCGTCGGAATTCCCGGTGTTAGATCGGCGTGGATGCGTCGAAGTCTTCGCCGTGTCGTTGGCGCCCGGTCGTCGGCCCACTGCGTCGGTTTTGTGATAGGGGTTAACTGAGAAAAACAAACGTAAACCAACTATCGAAGCTACGCAGAGATTTTCAGAAATTGGCATAAAGAATTGGCAATCCCATCACCGACTGCATGGGATGGCGGATGTGAGGATTCAGAGCAGGAATGCTAGTGTTCCGGTGTCCCTGAGACCAGCTCTGCGTCCAGCGTCCTTCCCTGGCGTCTGCTCCGTCTACAAAAACTTGTGGGCCTTGTGTCTGTTTTCATGGCATTTGTAGGTCTATTCGCCATTGTCCCTCCTGCACATAGTGGCGGCTCTTATAGTTGATGTACTATGCGTTATAACCCGCTTTGTGCTAATATTGCGCATATATCCATCCAAGTTTTCTGGCCATAGTGCCAGAGCTTGCATACTTTATTGTGGGAAATATTATGACGTTGGTGTACAAGACATGCAACTAAACATTGGTGTAACAAATGCCGTTTTCCTACTCACTTGTGAACGACACATAAAAGTGTATCGCCTTACAACTGAGATGTAGGTGTATGAACGAACAAGTAGCATATTTGTGGCATCTTATCTTTGCTCAGGCCTTCTGATCGGTTCGCAAAGGCTGCTGGTAAGCTCGCACATTTCATCGTTATGTTACCCTCACTGTGAGGAATTGCCTCAACATGCGCCCACAAACACCAAGCATCAGCTCCAACTATGGCACTCACTATGGCTTAGGCCGAAGGCCCTGCTTTGCGTTGTGGCGGTGATCCCATAGTTGGCCTGCTAAAGCGGTGTGTTTTTCTCTCCTTCTACGGCGTCCTTCAATAAAACCTTCTACTGTCTGCTTCCTCCTGAGTTGCTATGGGGTCCTGCTACCCTATCGCCGCGTCTCCTTGCCCTATTTCCGCGTCATGCTGCCCTATTGCGTCCTCTGCATGCCCTGTTGCCTCGTCTCCCTGCCCCGCTGCGGTATTCTTCGGTCTTGTTGCTTGTCTTCCCACGTGGTATGTGGGCGTCACGTGCCGCGTTTCCCGGACACCGCCGGCTCGGGCCTTGCCGCGGCTCGTGCGGGGGGCAGCCGTGAGCCGCGTCTGACCCCGCCACCGGAAGTGACACCACCTGTCGCGCGTCCCCCCGCTCGGAGTGGTAAAGACCTGGCATTGCCGCGGGCGCGCCAGCGGCGTCACGCCGCGCCAGTGCCGCGTTCACCCGCGCCACCAGCGCAACAGTGCTCAGCGGACGCTCAGTTTACGATGACTGTGGATAGGTGCCACTTACGGTGCTTACGGGGATACAGACGGGTAATTCTGGTTAGCTGGATGACATCGTTCCCTCAGCCAGGTGCTGCTCTCCGTTGTCTCTTGTTCCGCATCGGCACATCCGAACCGTCTTTGCTCTCTGTACTGATATCTTGGGCACTGGCTGGTACTCACGGATCATCCTAACTGTGATATATATTAATCGTAGCTATAAGCATATACATACTCATTGTTTTATAGGCCAGTCGTGTTTTTCGGACCGACGGTTAGTTCACGCAATCTCAGCCCACATGTGGGCGTCATCGACGTTATGTCAAGGCATTTAGCTGTTTTTGCCGGCCATTCAGGCGCATCGTGTGAACAGTAGTGACTTGGTAAAATGCCGTACCAGTTTCAATTAAAGAAGCGAAGCATTGGAAGATCAGTTTAGAGTTATAAGCCGTGCTCACGAAGGATTAAGATGGTTATTAAGATGGTATGGCTACTTGCAATCGCCTGTAAGAGGTAATGGGAATGCAGCCAAATTTGCATTATTTGATACTGCTTAACCAGCAGCATGAGAACATGCAATACAAACACATCGTACAGCTGCGATGACCGCCGCATGCAATGTTAGCTATTGTTCGCAACCGGCGCCCAATTGAACTTGATTCGGAAACGGCCCACAAATTCTGTTGCTGACACACGGGGCGACAGATGGTGACGACGCTAGACCCGCAACACCCTTTGCTAGTGCGCCGGGAGAAACCCGCCGGCATTTGAGGTGTGTCGTGCGCCGTTGTGCGGCGCAGGTCCGCGGCACGGTCTGCCTGGCGAGGGCTGCAGGTGCGGGGTGAGTACGAGGTCTCGCCAACGCGTGCCAGCTGGGGCAGCCGGGCGCCGCGGACCGGTCTGCCTGGCGAGGGCTGCAGGTGCGGGGTGAGTACGAGGTCTCGCCGACGCGTGCCAGCTGGGGCAGCCGGGCGCCGCGGACCGGGGCTGCCGGGCCGCCGCGTGCCAGCTCGGATAGCCGGCACGTCGGGCGAGGCGGACCGGGGCCGACGGCGCAGTCGGCGCTGGCAGCGGAGGCTCCTCGGCTCACCCAGTACACGATCGTCACATGTGTCGATCGTGTCGATCGCTAGTTATACAGGGTCTCCGCATCTTCCATGGCAGACGTGGGTTTGATCGTGGGTTTACCAACAGTTCCCGTGTTTCCTCTGCCCTCCGTAGTGACTCCCGTTGGTCGCGATGCGACTGTATGGTAAGGCACAGTCAGGACGCTCGGAAAGAAATGCCAGCTTCGTTGGAGCTCCAGTCACCGTGGAAAGTCACATCAGCAGCTGTAACTGCTGACAGGCCGCCAGGCCGCCGCTGCTGCTGCAGCCGTCGATGTGGCAGCCAGCCAGACAGCGGCGCCGTTGGGCCAGTTTGCCGCGTCTGCAGCGCGGCGTTGTTTTCCTGGCTGTCACGTGCCGGGCTGGGCGGTTGTGACGCCGGTCGAGCGCCTTTTTCAGTCGGCCCGGCCAACCGGCGGCCAACACCAGCGCTGTGTTTGTGGCCCGTTATAACCGCTGAACGCGCCACCGGACCGCGCTCCGGGGGGTTTGTTTGCATGGAACCGTCGGAGAGAATCGACCAAGAGCTCCATGGAGTTCATTGAATGAAGCCAACGACAGCGGATTTGCTTGTGGAAAAGACAGCAGCATTTAACAGTCATTTAACGACGAACTGTTTAGTCAGCGACGAAAAACGTTAGTGACTCGGAGCAGGTGTGGTGCGGTCGATGGCAAGAGATGTCAAAGGTCATGCACGCTTTCTCGTTGCTGGATGTGTGATGACCAGGAACGAATTCACAAGACGACAGCTCGGGCACTGAATTTAACCGCCCGTCAAAAAATCCGGGATGGGGAGCTAAGAGTGAACTCAGTGTTGGTCAAATGCTTTCGTTCCCATTATCGTTCACATTATTAACTATTATTTTTCGCTCAAGATTTGAAAGTAGCACCTGTGCGTCATCGTGTGATGACGTCCACATGTTTTCCAGCCCACTTGTTGGCATCAATCTACGGTAGTGTCGCACCTTGCATGGGCAGGTACAAACGATCTGCAGCTTTTCTTGCCGCCCGGAGCGGTAAACACTTCGGTGCCGTGTGTCAGCTCCTCACCATATTTGCGCTTCTCCCAGCGCTCTCACGTGATTCACTTAGTGTCCGATGAGTGGAGACGGAGGCGGTGAAAGCCAAGCGTGAGTAGAAGCTAGCTAGCCGCTGCCCTTGGTCTTGGTGTCAGGTGAATAGTCATCCCTAGCCGGTCACACAAGAGCCGCCGCGTTCTCTCGAGACGGCCATTGGAAACGGGCGGTGGCGCGGAGCGGCGGGGCCAGTCCCGTGACCTCGGTTCTGCCCTGGGGCGGGCCCTGGCACGGGCCGGGCCGGCGCGGCCTCTCCAGCCTGGCGGGCCGTGCGGCGGCGCTGCCCGGCCCGGCCACGTGTTGCAGCGGCTGTCATTGATACCCGGCTCTCAGGCGTTGTGCAAAGGCGCCGTGGCGTAACGTCGGCCCGGCGGCTGCGGTGACGCGCCTGCGGTCGACGCTGAGGGATGCCTGGTACGGACGCAGCCGGCCTCCTGGGGTCGCCCTCCCTTGACAGGGCGGGACGGCACCGATGAAATACCGCGTTTGTGCCCCACCGCACCGGTGTAGCACGGTACTGGTGTAGCATAGCAACAGCCTAGTGCCTTATCACTGCGTGGTGATGTGCCCATACAGTACGGTATCGGTAAAGAAGTGGTAGCATTGCTGTGACCTGCCCTGTTTCACCAGTGACCTGCCCCGCCTCATCGGTTTCCTGCCCTGCTTCACCAGCAACCCACCGCGCCTCATCTGTGAGTTGCCCCGCCTCACCAGTGACCTGCCCGCCTCCCCAGTGATCTGACCCTCATCATCAGCGACCTGCCATGTCTCGCCAGTGACCTACCCCGCGTCATAGGGATTTACTCAGCTTCACTAGTGAATTTCCCCGCCTCATAGTGGCCTGCCCTGCCTCACCAGTGATCTGCCCCGCCTCACCAGTGATCTGCCCCGCCTTACCAGTGACCTGCCCTGCCTCATAGTGACTTACTCTGCTTCACCGGTAATCTGCCCCGCCTCATAGTGACCTGCCCCGCCTCGTAGTGGCCTGCCCCGCCTCACCAGTAACCTGCCGCGCCTCATAGTGACCTGCCCCGCCTCACCAGTGACCTGCCCCGCCTCAGGGCGAGCCACGCTGCGCGCCATGTATCGGCGTACTCCGGCCCCGATGACAGCGGCGGCCACGGTCCTGAGGCTTCCGAGACCCTGTAACGGCCATCCTATTAGCGGACGGCGCCGATACCACCGCCGCGGCCCATCCGGCGCCGGCGGTGTCGACGGGGCCGGGTCAGGGTCGATCAACAGCGCACGCACCGCGGTCATCATTGGTCGGAGCCGACCAACAGCGCGCACACCGTGGTCATAATGCCTCGGGGTCGACCAACAGCGCGCACACCGTGGTCATGCTTGGTCAGGGCGATCAACAGAGCACGCACCGCGGTCATCATTGGTCGGAGCTGACCAACAGCGCGCACACCGTGGTCATAATGCCTCGGGGTCGACCAACAGCGCGCACACCGTGGTCATGCTTGGTCAGGGCGATCAACAGCGCACACACCGCGGCCATAATGGGTCAGGGTCGACCAACAGCGCACACACCGCGGTCATGATTGATCGGGGTCGACCAACAGCGCACACAACGCGGTCATAATGGGTCAGGGTCGACCAACAGCGCACACACCGCGGTCGTGCGTGGTCGGGGTCGACCAACAGCGCACACGCCGCGGTCATAATGGGTCAGGGTCGACCGACAGCGCACACACCGCGGTCATGATTGATCGGGGTCGACCAACAGCGCACACAACGCGGTCATAATGGGTCAGGGCCGACCAACAGCGCACACACCGCGGTCGTGCGTGGTCGGGGGTCGACCAACAGCGCACACGCCGCGGTCATAATGGGTCAGGGTCGACCGACAGCGCACACACCGCGGTCATAATGGGTCAGGGTCGACCGACAGCGCACACATCGCGGTCATAATGGGTCAGGATCGACCGACAGCGCACACACCGCGGTCATAATGGGTCAGGGCCTACCAATAACGTTCACACCGCGGTCAAACCATGACGCCGCTGCTGATGATATACTGGCCGGGCTAGGTGGGTTTCGCGGGGGAGGCAGCTCCAGCCACGAGTGTTATATATTGACCGAGTTCACTTCAGGGGCGCCATTTGAGCTGTGTTCTTTCACGGATTGTGTCATCAGGCTCCAAAGGGCACTCCTTGGCGTTGTTTTCTTCTCTTAAGCTGCACTGGACATTGACCAAAGCATCTCGCAGCTGGACGGTGTTACATAACAGCCTTGTTACGAGGGTTTGAGATGGTGAGATGGGACTGGATCTCTGACGAGTGGCGGAGCGGGTGGGCTGAGGGGGGGGGGGGGCAGCAGCCGCTGTACACGCCTGCGCCGGCGGCAGCCTGGTGATTTACCACCTCGCCACGCCCTACTCCCACAGTCGTGGGAAGTCCACCAACCACCGTCTGCAGTTTACATGGACTATGGACACCGGTGTCACAGTGCGTGAGTCAAGTGTCAAGGGTTGTGTCAAGCGGGGCTGTATTTGGGAAATTTTGCAGTCGGAAGCGGTGAGGAGGCCATTGGTATGGACGAGAGGAGGCATGTAGACGCAGGCGGCTGAAATGATTCAGAGAAAGAAGACGACGGACGAGAAACGGCGAGGAAAATATCTGTGTGATGTCTTAGAAAGAGAGGTGCTATTTTCCCTTGCCAGTTCGTTCCGGTTCCCTCAGCAGTTCCTTTCACTGGATTTATGACTGGGGGGAGTATAATTGGAAAATAAGTTTCATAACACTTGAAGAAAGATCTCACGCTGCCTGTGGCGGTGCCCCTTCTGATGGCGTGGGACTTCAGAGGTGGAAGAGGTACACCATGTCGTGACGACGTCCCCATATCACGCCCCCTGAGACGATCGGGGTATTTTCTGATCAATTAGACTGGCACATATGCGACTACACCGTTATTGCCGTTTGGAACAGTAGTGTAAGCGGCACTAGGTAAAGCTCAACATTTATGCTGTGCTTAGACGGCCGCGGAAAATATCCCATCACATGATGCACTTTGTTGCAGCTGAACCAACCATTAGACCCTGCACAACATAGTGTGCGCATTATTTTCGATAGAGGCTCTACTGATCTGAAAAGTAACACTGTTCTACATTCCACAGATGCATGTGCATGCATGCATGATTTCCTGCAGGTGCCACCTGCCAAGCCCATGAACCGGCATTATCCCGGTGTAATCCGCCAAACACGTTCTGTACTCTGGAGTTTGGACTGTCACGGGCCTGGGGTGCTGAGTCACTGCCGGACCAGGCGGAGACGACTACGGAACAGAAGTTCCGAGTAGCTCAACAACTCACCAAGCCGCGTCAGGCTCCAGCCGTCCCCCTGGGCTGGCCGGGACGGGCGGGCGTGTCGAGAGCGCGTCCCGTCCCCCGTCCCCCTCCCTCCACATCCCGCAGCCCAGGGCGTCTGCCGCTGACTGGCGCCCATTGGCCGCAACTTCCAACCTGTTGCCCCACGCCAGTCGCTGTGGGCTTCAGGCACCGGACCTCTGTGACCAGTGGTATCGATGACATCTGCAGGCGGTCAAGTTCTAGCGGCGGCGGCCAGTCGGCGCCGGCCACCGTCGCGCCGCCATTCGGGCTCTGCTGCACAATGCATGCACCTTTTACGCTGCCGGACCGTTACCGTGTTCTCAGAGCTGGCCATAACGATGTCGCCACCAGGGACAAGGCTCCGCTCCTGCCTATGGAAGATGTGGTAGCTTATGTAAACGTGCCGATTTCTCCTTCATTCGTCTGTGACGTCGAACCAGCTCGGCAGACGGCGAAAGGGGTCGTGCTTTTCGATGGCTGTCGGCCACGTAGCGATATTTCAGAGCACGTCATGGCTATGCTGCCGCCAGGGACAGCTTGAGAATGCACGGCTGTGATGTCAGTCAGCTCGTGTTACGCATATCGCACGTATTAATTCTAGCGTTATTTGTAAACGTTAGCGCATGTATGCACCGCAAATAATCGACCCCGATAATGGTTCACAACAATGATCGTCAATTTAACTTCTGTGCAAGCCTCTTTCACAATCGAAAGATACGCCCTCATATGTCATTTCAAAGTGTTGATTCACGAGTCATGAAACAGTCTTTGGGCACCGCAAAAATGTTACGAATTTCACCGAGGGTATTTTCCGAGGACATCGGACGATGCGTATGAGCATGGACCACATGCGACAGACCGATTTCCAGTTAGGGAGACCACCCCCATAGTGATGATGTATATAGTCACTCGTGTAATCGTGGTCCATGCAGCTGTATTCAGCCCTCCGGCATGCGCTAACCCAGCGTTTGGTACCGCCAGGCTTCGTGACGTGGTGTGACCTGTGAGACGCGTCCGAGTACGGGAGTGACCGCCTTCTGGAGAGTCCGCCGCCGCCGCCACCGTCGCCATGTCGGACGAGAAGGAGGGAGAGGACGTGACCATCCAGGGCTTCGACAACCCCGTATTCGAGGACGATGAGAAGCCGGCGGCCAGCTCCTCGGACCACTCTGGCTCGGAAGCGGACGCCAGCGAGGCGGACAGCTCCACCAAGCCGTCCAGCGAAACTAAGAAGGAGCAGGAGGCCGTCGATCTCGAGCTGGTCACCATGACGCCAGAGAAGAACGGCAACGGTCTCAAAAGCAAGGACGCCGTCATCGACATCACGTACCACGACAACGGCGACACCATGCCGCACGGCAACACCCACCGCAAGATTATCGGGTAAGCGCTGACGGGGAGTTGCCGTTTGTTGGCTGTTTTTGAACTCCCGCGTATGGCTGACTCGTGACAGATCGTAACAATCAAAACCGCTTCCACTCATCAGTCATCTGACATTACCGAAAGATGCATGATCTGTGTCTGAGGTTGAACTGTCGAGCTGCTGTCAAACTGTCCAAAGGTTGGGCTGTGGAGTCATTCATCGAGCTTTGCCTTTTTGAGTTGATAATTCTCCTCATTGTGACATTTAACGTTCTCATCTGTTCCACTGCTGACTTTTCTCCTTGACGCTGTATGCATGTTGTGTTTGTGACGGTATCGAGAGACGTTTCTGTTCACTCGCTGCCTTGATGCTGGCTTATTTGCACGCGTTGGACATGTTTAAGACCTGAGTTCGCGAGTCATCAATGATTTTGATTCGGAACAAATGCAGATGACTCACGCCAGTGAACGGTGAGTGATTTATGAACACGATTCCGGCGTAGTCGCTGCTGATGAAGACTTCCGTTGGCACGATGTAAGGCGGCCCACACCACGCCTCAATAGCGTCCCTGCATTTCTCAGCGAGCATGCACGGCTGACTGGTGACTGATTCACGTGAAGCGTGCTTAGACATCAGCGATGATTAACTCAAACCAAGCTCATTGACTAAGACTGGAAGAACGGCCGGCAGGTGGCAGTCGCACGGTTTGATGCCAGTAGCCGTGTCGCGGTGGGGGGTGGGGGGGGGGGGGGGACTGGCCCAGCGGCGGCGTCTGCCACAGGCCGTTCTGACGTCACAGCGTATTCCCCACCTCCCCGCTTCCCATCAGGGTGTGTCAGCTGAACGGCTGTTGCTGGAGCGGAAGGTGTGGCCTGTCGTGCTCGATCTCACGCCATCCCCCCCCCCCTTCCTCCCCCTCATCTGACTGTTCTGCATGCGTCACGGACTTGTACATGCACTGTAGAACTGGCTGTTGGATCTTTTTTAACATCTCAGGTAATGTGCTGCACGACAGCTCATCACACATGCACAGATGCAAACAATTACACACTTGCCCACACACACCCATGCAGCGATCAGTAATGTGGTTACCGAAAGGAGCCGACACTGCACACCGTTCGTTCAATTAACACATTCCAGCTCATGTCGCCGTAGCCCCACTTTTTGGTATGCTGTAAAACGTTTCCTATTGCACAACACAGTCGGTCAGTATTCCAGTCGTGATCCACGGCTGCGAAACCTCGTCATTGCTTATCAAGCACCATACATTTACGGCACCAAATTCCCCGGACACTTCATGTCCGGGTTTCTTGGCTAACTCACCGGTGTAACAGCTGGCACCTGGCTTACGAGCCGCGCTTCAATGAAATTGCCGTTACTGTCAGCAGCAAGATTGCCGATTTAACGGTTGAATTGTCTCCGAGCTTAAGTGGCAAGACCGTCACCTCTGTC